TCTTTAATTAAACATAAAAAATACTTAAAACTGAAAAAAACAAAAGAAATGCGTTAATTTTGAAGAGAAAGCTTCAAAGTTTAACTTCCATTGTCTCGCCTTTCTGCGAAATCTGACGCTGATGAGTAATTGTGTTTACAGCTGGATGACCTTGAAAACAGCTGGGTGTCGTCTTTCGCGGAACATTCTCATAAAACTTACAGGAAGCGAAGGGTTTATAGTAGGGTGAATACTAGCTAGCCGTATATTTTTAAATATTTTTAAAAAATTGTTTTTTATTACGATTTCCGACTCCCGCGACTTAATTAAACGTATATATAATAAAATATATTAATTTAAAAATTAAAAAAACTATTGGAGGTCGTTTTTTATCAGAAACTAGCTTTAAATAACTTTACCGAAGTATAATCCGTGCACTAGAACTTTAGAACGATGAATGAAATTTGATTTAAAAAATCCCATTAAAAACAATTAAGCCGTCATTAAAGGTAGATTAAAATCGCGATAAAATTTTTTCGCGCGGGAAAAAATTTTTGAAAAAATTTGGAGACTTAAAAAACATCCAAAAAAATTTTTTTCAAAAAGGGTCTAAAAACTCGGTTTTTCGTAACGCTATGGAATCTGCTCGAGTCAGGCTCGAGTGTGGCTCGAGTGTAGTGCAGAAAGGGTTGCCTCCAATTTTTGTCCATTGCAGGTGAAATTTTGTTTTGTTGCTCTTTATGTTACAACACATAGTATAAACTACTTAAATTGTAGAAATATTAGCTACTCTTCTTGAATTTTATGAGATCTCTCCTCTTCTCAATTCTTCAATCGTAGGGTCTACTTTCTCATAAAAAGTATTCCGTCATGCTTGACGTGGAAATTTCTATTAATAAAATATTTTGATGTCCAAGGCGGTTAATACATCAGTTTACCGGTCTGGGGTCCCGGGATAGAATCTGGTAGATTGAAAAACAACAGGAATTTTTCGGCGAATTAATCCCAAATAGTTCGAGCCTGTTCTTTATCATCTGGCTAGAATATGTGCTTTGACCCCAGAGCACGGAAAGAGTCAAAAAATAAAATAAACAATATAAAATTGCGGATATACGATAAAGTAGGATGCCGATGCTGATATAAAAATAGTAATATTTACTACTGCCATTTTAGCAAGCTCATTATTGATTCATCCAGGCCCATAATGTGGTGGCCGAGTGGTGAAAGACATATCCAGATGGACCATGTCTGAAAAATTCGTAGGATTTTTGACAGGTTTTTCTGTATTTTATTCTTTGATCGAGAATATTCAATATTTTAAAAATTATCATGTAACGCGTGTATGCATCTTTTCTAGCATTAATTTTATGTATTTATTTAATATCTAAATGAACATAAATAAATTATAGTATTTTCCAGAATAAGAATGAAGCCGAAATCATTGATCTTGAATGTGTATCACACTCCGTCGCCGCTAAGCAACGAAGATAAAATAAAAACTTCTAAAATTCAAACATTACTGTCATATGACCCAATGTTTAATTTTTCCTTTCTTTATATTTTTTTATAATCTCAAATTTCTTGCAAAAATGTCGAAAATAGCTTCAAATATAATACATTATAACAGTTTAAGGCTTTATAATTTTCTTATATGTCCTATGTTGTATTTTATTTTGTAATGAACAGGGGATTATTTTTCTTCGCTTATGTAGACTAATGAATGCCTGCTTCATTCTTATTCTGGAAAAGAGTATAGTAATAAATTTATCTATAATAAGTAATAAATAGCCATGATGCGAACAGCCTTGAGTGGATTAGTATTGTTTTGTATTCCATCCAGAAATTGAAAAAGAACTTTATCACGTATCTCCCGTACATTCCGGACTTTGCGTCCTTTGATTAGCACTTCTTCGCCCCACTAAAGGAATATATGTGGACAAAATTTGATAGTAAGAAAGACATGATACAAGATGCCGAGAAGTGTGCCTACAACCAAAGACTTCGTGAGCGACATCTGCAAGCTTCCGGACTGTGTGGCGCAAGTGCAAATATGGATTATAGTTTGTAAATAAAACAAAAACTGTGCTCCATTTACCGAAACTAAAAAGGTTCTACTTTTCAACGTAACAAATCTTTGCAAACCAAGGGGATTATGTTGAAAAGTAGAACCTTCAGTCAGTGCCGTAACTAGCCATTCCTGTTCCCTGTGCAAGAATTTGCATTTAGGCCCCTTAATTAATTTGGTTTGAGAAAATAATAAAACAAATACATGCATTTTGGATCCCCTTCCAAGTGGGTCTTATGCGGGTGTACTCGTTGCACTTGCCTAGTTACGGCACTGCCTTCAGTTTCGGTAAGTGGATCACAGTTTTTGTTCTAGTTAAAGTTACAATTCACATTTATCTAATTCTCGTAATTATTGATTTATTTCTTCGTGCGCGGCAATTTAGCAAAAACCAAAGATTCCTTTGTTAAAATTTTTTGTGGGGATTTCTTTAATACAATAGGCCCTCGATTTGAGTAATTGGGGAAAGGTATATCCGCTATAACCGAATATCCGTTAAATCGAATGTGTTTAAAAACTTGTTTTAATAACAAGCTTACATCATACAGGATGTAAAATATAAAAATGAAGTGTTGTTAGAAGTGTAAATTTCTTTTTCAAACTTAGCAAATGAATTATTTTTATGATAAAATTATAAATATTTTTCTTCACACTATCAATTTGATAAATTTAGTCAAATTTCAGTTTGCTAATCCAGTTTAAGAGTACTGTAGGAATGGCTAAAATGTATCACACTAAAATCTCCATCCTCTTTTCTATATTTGAATGTTTTAATTTAATGTTTGGCGTTTCAGAGTGATCTATAGTTTCTCTATAAGAAGAAAAGTGTTTACAGATTTTCGGGCGTCTTATTTTGACCAATTCCTTTATAATTTTTTCAAATATCATCTCAAAAAAATTTGTTAAAATTATAAGTATTTATTCACATATTTTTCCCTAAATATTACTCAAACTCATAAAATTTAATTAAATTGTGACGTCTGAATTTCAGTTGACGCATTTCGCCTCATAATGGCGCTGTAGGATGTTCGTAATCTTTCATGTTGCCAACTCTCCTCCCTGAAGAAAAAAATTTTCAATGTTGTTATAAAATGAATTAAAATTAAAAAAAAAAAAACCTATCAAAATATTTTAAAAAGTTTTTATAATGAATTTAATTATAACAACAATTTATTTAATATTTAATATCGTATTTAATTCATAATTTTGTAAGCGTTTTATAATTGTATAGATATACAGTACAGTATTCATTTTTAATTTTGAGATGCTAAAAATATTTTATATATATGTATATTTTATTGTACGAATTTATTTAAAGTGTAATTTTTTTAAAATTATATCGTAATTTATAGACTATTATATTCTATAATTAAACAAACTAAATTCAAGTAGCGATAATAAAAATGTTTTATATGTATATTGTGGCGCCATCTGATATTCGATACGAGAGTTATTTATTGAAATGTTTTATAATTTTATATAAAATAATTTAAAAAAGAACAATAATCGACACAGAATGGCAAAATAGTGCCATAATTTTATTATTAGACATGTATACATATTACTTCTTTGTGATCTCGGTTTGAGTTTAGATATAATGTATACATCAATTATCTAACTCCGAGTAGAGCATAATAAGGTGTATTGACTAAATAACATATATTCAACATTATTATTATTTTTTTTTTTAAATTCGTTTCTCCTTAATGAATCAGGACGAACACATACGATTACAAATATTTTATATTATATATATGTATATATATGTATGTAAATAACGAACGAACATGATTTCGGTTATAACACGGTGTGTATACGAGGCACAAATGATTATGCTATATACGTTTAAAACATAAAAATATATTTTCTTCTTTCCTAATATATTAGGACGGATATTTTTTTTTCTATATTATTATAAATTTATATATTACGATTATTTTAAATTCTGTATTAAAACGGAATTACAGGACGGAATTCATTGTTATTCTTTCTATAGACTTGTCACGTGAATAATATGATTTTTGGCATTTCATATACTGTCGATAAAATGTGAGAAACATAAAAGGAGTATATATATAGGCCTATATATATTAGTTTATGTCGCTAATTAACTAAATTACAAACATAGAAATTAAACATAAAAAAATTACATAAATATTACGAATATTAACATGCAGTCATAATCGATCTTTCATATTAGTTTGGAATAATTTTATTTTTTTTTTTAAATGTGTTTTTTTTTTTGCTACGATTTTGATGATTTTAACAAGATTTAAATTCGTCAGGTGATAATAAGCGGCATGGCTTAATGCATACTTAAATGAATATATTGTTACGTCATCATCTGTAGATACGCTGAGCAAATTAATACTATCACGCCACGCGCGCCGTAAAAATCTATACAGATAAGATTCTAATCTCGTGACTAATGAACGAATATTTTAAATGGAATACTAACCAACTCGTTCGGAATAATGATATTTTCTAAACCGACAAACGAAGGAAATAATGGAAGTTTCGACGCATCGTACAAAAGTCATATAAAGCATTTAAGTACAAATAATCCATCACCTGTCCGGCTATAGATAATCCTTCGGTGAATTAAAATAATGTATTTTCAAAAAAAAAAAAGATCTTCAAATAAATATATAATATAATATAATAAT